CATAAGGGAGATAGAGTTTAACAAGTATGAAACACTGAGTTGAATGAGTGATATGTATGAAATGGTTTCACTGGGTTATATTACTGATAAAGATGAAACATGATTTAAGTGAAACATGATGTATATGAAATATGATAAAGGTGAAACACAATATATATGAAACAATGATGCAGGTGAAATGCACCAAGTAATGGGGTCAGTTGTAATAGTACAGGGTCAATGATGAATAGTAATGAAAAAAAGAAAACCCCCCCTCAAAGCTGTAACAGACTATGGGTGATTCCAGAGCTGGAAGACTTTTGTCCTTATCCTGTTCTGAGTATGAGTGTTCAGAAGATCCCTCAGGGTTGACAAGAGTTGTCGTAGGTGGGGCATGGTAAGAACCTTTAGACTACTTGGACTCTGGGGTAGTGTGAACAACTTCTATGATATCAATGGGCTCAGCAGTAGATATTATAATATCTCTTGTAAGTTTACAGAATTCTTCCAGTACATTTTCCAGTGGTGTAATGCTAAGATGGATGTTTTTGTTGCTAGAGGAGATGCTAGCTTCCTGGCATAACCAGTGTGGAGAGGGAGTGTATGTGGTTTGTCTGCTGGCAAAGAGAAGATTAATGGTTAGCCCTTGAAGTCTGGTGCACTGATAGGTGAGCCATTTGAGGGTTTTCCTAATAGCATGCTGTGGGAGTGTGTGAGTGGGACATGAGGTAATTGGCAGAGGAGGAGAGGAGAGCTATTCTCCTAGAGAGAGGTGTGGTTACAGCTCGGAGGGGGGTTCTTTTTTCTTTTCCTAACTATTCATCGTTGACCCTGTAACTGTACAACTGATCTCATCATTGATATGTTCCACATACATCAAGTGTTTCATATCTATCACATTTCACCTATATCATGTTTCACCCACATCACGTTTCATCTCAATCACGTTTCATCCTCATCACTGATACAACCCAGTGAAACATGTTTCATGTACATCACTGATCCAACTAAGTGTTTCATACTTATTAAACTCTATTCGCTTCACCCTATTTAAGTAGCACTGCTTGCGCTACTGTACTCTAGTTTTGTCCTCTTGTTTCCTACATACCTTCATAGGGACACCTTCAGTACTAGACTGAATTGTCTATTCTAGTCTCAGTCTGAAGTGTTGCTTCATCCAGTTGTCATTC